CAAAACAGATATTAAAATTGTTTTTTTTTTAACTTTTTTTTTTTAACTTAAATTTTATATTCATACATAATCATATATATTTTTTATTTTAGAGTTTTTAAAATTTTTTTTTGTTTTTAAAGTAAAATGTTTTTTTGTTGCACTTTAAATTTATGGGCTCAATTTCACCCGCTTGGCTGTTGTTGTTGGGAGAACCTTTTCAATCTTTGCTCTTGGCTTGCTGCTTCTGCATTTCGTGTGCCCTCTCTCTGGCTTGCTCTCCCTTCTCGCTATCTCTCTCTCTCTCTCCCATGTCCTGCCAGCCTTTCCGCTTGTCAAGGAGCAGCGCTCTGTGGCCATTGTCAATGGATTTGCTCTGGCTTCCCACTTTTCTAAATATCGCTTAATTGCTCATTAACTTAATTAAAAAAAAAAAAAAAGGAGAAAAATAATGCTCGGCTATTAGCAGCTACTCGACTGCAAGATGCTGCGCACTGCCAGAGATCTCTGGGCGAATGAGATGTGTCAAGTGCTGATAAGCCCAATGCAACGGGTCCTATGGAAGCCCAATCTAGCTTTCTGCTTGGTCATAAGACAGGGTATTCCAGAATGAAATGTGTGCCACGCACGTTCGCGCCGAGAAGCCATCGATTACAAACCTTTCAACCTTCCTTGGACCCTTGCTGCCCTTGTTGCCCTTGCTGCCTTTGCTACCCTGCCCATTCAGCAATCCATCCATCCGTCTGTCCGTCCGTCCAAGTAGTCGTCCAACCTGTTCCGCGCTTCAAGATTGCGCGCGATGTTCAATTAAAAGCTGCCAACTTTTGAGCATTTAATTATAGCAAAGAAACTTTTTCCCAGCAAACAATTTTTAACTGCGATTCCAGTGTTGCGAAATGCCTTCGCATTAAAACTTTGGGTCTATGCAGAAAACAATTTCTATTCAAATGAAATTTATGATCGATGGAATCTCAATTTAATTGATTTTGTTTGCAAGCTATAATGCTGCTTTTGTAGTGTTGGAAAATGCTTCCAAATGTATACAAATCAAACAATACTTTTTAAGATACATGTAAACTTTATAATAGTGTTAGAAAATATTTAAAAGTCAATTAACAACAAACAGTGTTGTAGTGCTGGAAAACATTTTCATTTATTTCATTTTGAATTTAATGATTGCCCAATGAGTGGATTTGCAATGTTGGAAAGCGTTAACATATATTAAATAGAAAATTAGTGATAGCCTAGCGTTGATTTGAATAATTATGAATTCATAGCTTAATTGCAATACTCGAAAAGACATAAAGATAAAACATTTGAAAGATTTAAACTTAATGCAGATATATTTAAAAAAAAAATAAACAAAAGTAAGGGTATACAGAGTTCGGTTGCTATTTGTAAAGCCACAACTCATGGAGGACCTGTACCTCTTTCTATATTTAGGAGACTTAATAGATTAGATATAGAGCGCGTGGGGCGAGAGCTTTAATTTTATAATTTACAAAGTTTAGCTGAAATTAAAAATGAAATAAAGGCGCAGGGAAATGGAACACCCCTACTAACCCTTGGGCCGCTGGAGCTGCACGTGGCAGCCGCCGCAGCATGAAATGAAACAAACGCCAAGAGAAAGGCGAGAAAAGGCGATGGAGCGATAGCAGCAGCGGCAGCAGCAGCAACAGAGGCAGCGACGCCAGCAGCAGCAGCAACAACAACAACAACAGAGCAAGCGACGTAAATCTTGCGTTTATTTGTTTATATTTCGTAACATTCCGGCTGCTGTTAGCTAACAGAGCGCCTAACAGCGGCCGAAGCACGCCGCTGTTACGGCTCGTGCATGAAGGAAGCTGTGCGGCAATCGCCGGCAGCGGCCCGTAGCAGCCCGTAGCAGCAGCCGTGGCAGCATCAGCATCAACATCAACTAGGAATCGTTGCACGTGGCTCAGTTCAGTTCAGCTCAGCTCAGTTGAAAATTGCGCTTCAGTCGAAGCAGAGCAGACAGCCAGCGAGCCAGCGAGCCAGCGAGCCAGCGAGCTAGTTGATTGTCCGTGGTCGTGTTGCCGTTTGCTGTTGTTGTTGACGTAGTCGTTCGTCCGTTTGCTCGTTCGTTCGTTCGTTCGTTCGCCTTGGCTCGACGCTGTTAGCGCCGTTAGTGCCGTTAGTGCCGTTAGCGCCGTTCACGCCGTTCAGTCGAGGTCGTGGTCTCGCATGAAGCGGTCGGACAAGTCGCATCGAGAGTCTTCAGCCAGAGCATTCACTGTAGCGCAGCCAGTTGAGTTAGTTTAGTCAGCGTAGTTCGTGCCACGTGCTACTGCGATTGCCGTTGTTTTGCCACACACGGAATCGCCGGAATCGGAGGCGCGAGGTCCTCAGGCGCAGCGACGCGTAAACATCAACTTCTTGCGGCCAACGAGAAGATCAGAGCCAAGTCTACATTTTTTTGCGCTGTGCACGCCCTGCCAAATGGTTCGTTCACAGTTTGTTGTTTGTTTGTTATTTTTTTGTTGTTCCGAAACGGTGCTTTTGTGAATTGTTGTTGTTGTCGAAGTGGGTGCAAGCTGGCGAGCAAATGAAGCCCCCCCTCCCCACACCCCGGCCACTGCCCCGCTCTGTGAGAACTCGCAACTGACTTGCCAAGACTCAGCCGCATTCCGGGCCCCCGCTTGGGCTGCCTTTATGATTGCATTAATTTTCGATTATTCTTTCTCCAACTGTCAGCACTCTGACGGGCACTTCAAAGCCACTCGCCGTAGATCGAATTAATTGAAGCCCCGCCCGGGCGGCCTAATGACTTTCAAAAGTATTTAAAACGCCAAACTCGAACCCGAGCATCACCAGCAGCAGCAGCAGCAGCGACAGCAGCAGCAGCAGCGGCAGCAGCAGCAGCAGCAGCATTTTGCCTAATTTCTTTTCGGGCCGAATAAACTTTTCGCCAAGTGCTAAACCAAAATAAGAAAAATACAAAATACAAAAATATAAATAAAAACAAATTACAGCGAAACACGAAGCAAACTCTCTCTCTCTCCCTCTCTCTGTCTATCTATCGATCTCTCCATCTCTGTCGCGCTGCCTCCGCATCTGGTGAGTATTGTAGTCCTAAGACTTTGCATTCCGTTCCGGCCAATAGCCAAATAGCCAAATAGCCAAATAGCCAAGCAGCCCACAGCCAACGTCAACTTCAAATGCCAAATATCATAACTAAGCTAATCGAATCAAACATTTGCAACAATTTCAAATAATTTGCAAGGGAAAGTTAAATAGAAGAATTTGCAAGTTTTCTGCACTTAAATCAGGCATTCGCAGTTGGAAATTCAATTTACTTCAATTTCATTATATTTCATATTAATATTTATTTTATTTTTTGCATATATATATTTATTTATATT